TGGTCGCTGCCGCCCTTGGGGCGCCTGTGTTGTGTTCGCCGTGTGCACCCCGTGTACCAAATAGCCTAACAACGAATAAATGGTAGAGACAGCGCTGTGCCGCCTCTTTCCTCGCCGCGGGCCAGCCGGGAGCTCTTGTCCCCTCCCCACTCCCGCTCCGGGCATCACCGGCAGCGTGTTGTGCTCACTTACGCAATGAGCTGAGCTGGGTCGCAGCCCGCCCACACACATCGTGAGGCTCCGTGAGCTTGGCGGGGGGTGGGTGGGCTCCCCCTAAGGGCGATGGGGCGGGTGAGGAGCGCCGGTCCCCCCGCTGCCGGTACTCGGCGCTGCCCCGGTGCCCACGGGAGGCGCCGCCATGTGTCCCTCCGCGGCACTCGTAGAGGGCAAAGCTCGCCGCCTCACGGCCGATACGTGCTCTGATTGGTTCTGCTGCCCGCCCGTCTGTGCCGCCGCGCGGCGCACGCCGCGCCCATTGGGTGCTGTAGGAATTCTGAGCTCTGATTGGCTGGGCTGGCGCAGGGCACGCCCCCCCCGGCTGGGCCAGGAAGTGAAGATGGTGGCGGCGGCGGCGATGGCGGCGGATGAGGCAGGTACTGGCGGGTTCGGATGCTCGGTGTTTGTTCGCTGTCTCCCGGCTCCCCGACCCCGCTCCCAGGGGAGCCGGGCTGGTGCTGAGCGCTGTCCCCGCAGAGCGGGCGCGGGGCCGGCGCGCCGCCCTGTCCTTCGCGACCATCGCCGTGGTGCTGGGACTGCCGCTGTGGTGGAAAACGACCGAGACCTACCGCGCTGCCCTGCCCTACGCGGACATCGATGAGCTCGGCCAGCAGCCGGTGAGCGCCGGGCGGGCCCGGGGGCAGCGGCTCGGGGGGCTCGGCAGCCCGGGCTGACGCTGCCCCCGTGCAGGTTCAGCTGGTGGTGCCCATGGCCGTGGTCTTCGCCCCGGGATCGGTGCCCGGGGACCTGCCGAGGCCGCTGCCCTTCAGGGACGTGCAGGAGATGGAGATTTCCGTGAACCGTGAGAGACCCCCTTGTCTGTCCCTACCCCGTCTGCTCCTCATGCGTGGCCTTGTCCTTTCGTGGGGGTCCCAACCTGCGCGTGGCTTCACTCCCCGGCAGCCCCGAGCTCCCGGGACCCCGAGCCCCCTTCACCAGCATCACCCTGCCCTGAGCTGGCAGTGCAGGGAGCAGAGCTGGGACAATGAGGTCCCAGGGTGCTGCAGGGAAGGGACCAGCTCTATTGCCTGGGGATGATGGAGCCTTTGGAAGGTGGGATGTGTCTGGCTGGTGTGGGGCTGTCTCACTACCAGTGCAGCACTACATCCCATAGTGGTTCACCCCACTGGCACCCAAAGGACCTCCTGGGGTTGTCCCTTGTCCCTGTGAGCACCAGGCTCCTGTGAGGGGCCTGGGATCAGCAGATTCACTCAGGTTTTCTGTCCCCCAGTGCGAACCAGCGTCACGTCCCGCTATGAGATGCGCTATCGCAGCACCACGGCTCAGGAGGAGGCAGCACTGGCTGCAGCGACTGCACGAGGTACTGGAGCAGGGAATTGCTGGGGAGCTCCTTTTCCTGAGGCTGGCAGAGCACAGAACACCTTTGGCTTTGTGTCAGAGTGAGACAGGGATTGGAGTGAAATTCCCAACCCTGCCAGTGCTTCCATCTTCCCCAGAGGCTGATGCTGCTCTGTACCCGCTGCAGGACACCACCCTGGGCTCTCTGACCATGTACGTGGTCCCTGAAACCTCCTCTCTCCTGCCTCAGGTAGGGAGCAGCACGGTGTGGTGCCAGCCTTTGCGTGCCTCACCCCTGGCAGGTGGCACGTGTCACAGGTGGCTGTCACAGGTGGCACCGTGCCGCTCCCAGCCCTCACCCCGTGCCATCCCCAGGGCACCACTGTCTACGTGGGGAAGCACCGCAGCGCCCTGGTGAGGGCTGGGGGGAGCCTGGCTGCCCTGCAGGCCCGGCTGCGGGAGGTGACACAGGTGATGTCCTTCACGGCCAGCTCCATCGCCGCCGCCCTCTCGGACCGCGTGCCCGACGGGCGGCTCAGCCCCGATGCACGGCGCAACCTGAAATCCAGCCTGGGTATGGATCCTCTGTCCCTGCTCCCTGGCCTTGGGAAGCCTCCTGCTCCTGGGGAAGATGCTATACCTGCTCTACTTGTGGCATCCCTGGATGTCTTCTGGGCTAACAGATCCCTTTGCCTGTAGCTGTTGTTGTGGGCCAGGGTTGTGCTGTGGTTGCTCTGTTGGTGTCTCCTCACACTGGGGTGGGCCAGGGAGGAGGGGACGGGTCCTGCTGCTCTTGGGAGCTCTGTCACGGCCTCGGTGGCTCACAGGCTGCGGGTCCTTGCAGGGTATGAGATCACCTTCAGCCTGCTGAACCCTGACCCCAAGTCCCACACCGTGGACTGGGACATCGAGGGGGCTGTGAACCGCTTTGTGAAGCCCGTCCTGGACAAACTGAGCTTGGTGGCCAACTTTTCTGTGGATTCACAGGTGAGGGCTGGGAGAGATGGTGGGGAAAGCCCAGCCTTGACCTCCCTGGGGTGCACTTCTCTGCCAGCAGCGTGTCCCTTGTGTGCCTGCAGATCCTGTACTACGCTGTCCTAGGAGTGACACCACGCTATGACAAGGAGTCCTCCAGCTTCCTCCTGAGTGCTCACAGCCTCCCACACGTCATCAACCCCGTGGAGGCCCGGCTGGGTGAGCTCTGTGCTCGTGGCTTACTGGGATCTGTCTCATGGGACCGTGGCTCCCTTTTCCCCCAGCTCACATGAGAGCTGCTGGGGTGGCTGTGAAGGAGGAGCTGGGCTGTGGGCTGCTCTTGCTGTCCCTGCCAGCCACAAGAGTTCTGTGACTCTGTCCCACTGCAGGCTCCAGTGCTGCCTCGCTCTACCCCGTGCTGAACTTCCTGCTGTATGTGCCAGAGCGCTCCCACTCCCCTCTGTACATCCAGGACAAGGATGGAGCCCCAGTGAGCACCAACGCCTTCCACAGCCCTCGCTGGGGTGGCATCATGGTATGGGAACCATGGGGGTGCTAGCAGTGCTGGGACAAGGTGGTGGCTTCCCTTTCCCAGCTGGTGACCCAGTCGGCCCTGAGGCCCTGGCTGTGCCTCATTAACATGCATTCCCACAGGTTTACAACGTTGAAGCCCCTGCTTCCCCCCAAACCTCCCTCCCTCTGCATGTGGATGTGGACATGGCACGAGTGATGGAGGTTTTCCTGGCCCAGCTCCGGTGAGGATGTGCTCTTCCCTCCCCAGGCCTCTGTGGAAATCAGTGGGGTCAGAACAGGCTGTACCCAAGCAGCTTTTTCACTCCTCCCTCTGTGGGCTCTGGGAGGCTGAGGGTGGCTCTTTGTGGCCTTCGAGGTGCTGGCTACTGGCCATCACTGCTTTGTGGCCAGGGATGCTGGCACATCTCCCATTTCCTCAGATAGGAGGCTTGGCTTATCATGCCACACATCCAGGAGACAGGCAGGATTGGGACTAAACACAACAGGCAAGAAGAACAGGGAGCTCAGGGGAATGAAGGCTTCTGATGTGGGCTGGGACCATCCCTTCTACTCGCAGGTTACTCTTTGGGCTGTCTCGGGAAGAGGTGCCCCCAGAGTTCCTGCTGGAAAGCCCAGGGAATGAGGGGCTGGCAGACTGGGAGCTGGACCACCTGCTGTGGGCCCACACTGTGGAGAACATCGCCACCGTGTCCACCACGCTGACCTCGCTGGCCCAGCTCCTGGACAAGATCGGGAACATCGTCATCAAGGATGATGTTGCCTCTGAGGTAGGGCTGGGGGGCAGAGGGGGCTGAGTGTCCCTCTTGCCCTCCCTGGCCAGGGACTGACCCTTGGTGTTGTTGCCACACAGGTGTACCGGGCAGTGGCCTCGGTCCAGAGCGCTGTGACCGAGCTGTCCCTGGGCCACCTGCTCGCAGCTTTCCAGGCCAGCAAGGAGGCTGTCACCTCCTCGGAGAGGGCCTTCTTTGACCCATCTCTCCTCCATCTCCTCTACTTCCCTGATGACCAGAAATTTGCCATCTACATCCCGCTCTTCCTGCCCATGGCTGTCCCAATTCTCCTGTCCCTGGTCAAGATTGTGCGGGAGACCAGGCTGCGTAAGAAGGAGCCCACCAAGATGGACTGAGCGATGCTGCCCTGGCTTGGGGCTGTCCCCACCTTGTGGGGTGGTGTTGTCACAGACTCATGGCCCAGAAAGGCACCCCAGGGTCCAGGCTGCTTGGCTTGGGTGTTCCAGGGCCAGGATGCAGGAGTGGGAAGAGAGGCTGCTTTGGGAGTGGGAAGGGGTCTCAATTTGGGTGCTAAGCCTTCCTGCACTCACAGAGGCAGAGAGGGGAGGGACGGAGCTGCCTTTGTGCACCCCCAGCCTGGTGTTGTATTCAGAAGAAGCTGCTGTGTAAATAAAGAACCCCCTGTTCTGTGGGGGGCTGATGTGGGGCTGTGTGAACCTGCTTTAGCCTTCTGGGGGGTACCTATTGCCCTGCCTTCCCCTGGCCCAGCTTTCCTGCCCCCATCCATTGCTTTATGGGCTCTGGCTCCTGTCGTATGGGTATTTAGCCAAAAATACTTGGTTGGGGAGGGGGGGCAGTTCCCATCCATGGGTGTAGAGCCCCCGGGGGCAGCCCGCGATCCAGCTCCTCCACCGTGTGTGGGTCTGAGGGTGGTTGGGGCGGGTGTCCCCCTGCTCTGGGCCAGGTCTGTCCCCACCTCACCTGGGGGGCTGACCCCCATGGCGGGGGCTTCTCAGGAGGGGGAGACCCCAGTCTCCTCCAGCAGCAAGGGCTTGCCCCGAGCCCCTGGGAGCAGCGTGGAGGGGCCGCTTTCCTTCCTTGCGCCGTTCCTCCCCCTTCCCGCGGGGCCGGGCGGTGCTGCGCGGCCGGGGGCGGGCCGGGGGCGGTGATGGCGATGCCCCTCCCGGTGCGGCGGCGCGCAGCGGGGCCGGGGCCGCTCACACCGGCGGTGGCGGCGGCGGCGGGGCCATGAAGGTGAAGAAGAGCGGCGGGGCCGGGGCCGCGGCGGCCAGGACCGAGGAGGAGCTGGGCCGAAAGGCGCTCATCGGGCCCGACGACGTGCTGGGGCTGCAGCGGGTCACCAGCGGTGCGTGCCGGGGGTGCCGCGGGGGGAGGATGGAGACCGTGTCCCCGTGGGGCTTCTCCCGGGGGAAAAAGGGCAGCCGGTTCTCCTCTCCTAGGGGTCTAAACCGGGGGGAAAAGAGGAGCCATTCCCCCTTTCAAGGGGGCTAAACCAGAGGGAAAAGGGGAAGCGATGCCCCCTTCCCGGGGGACAAGAAGTGGGGATGCAGCACGGCAGGGGACAGAGCCCGCGCCGGGATGTGCCACCCCGGGGGCTGGGGACCATCGGGAGAACGGGGGAATGCCCGGAGCTGGGGGTGCTGGAAGGTCGGTGTTGGGATGCTCCTCGCTGCTCTCCCCATTCCCTGTGTCTGCTCCCACCCTGTGCCCATGGCAATGGGATGGGCTGGATCCCTGGCCATGGGGGGGACTTCAGAGCAGCCCCCCAACCCGGTTTCCCCCTCCCCAGTATAGCACCCGTGGTCTTGAGGGCATTTTGGAGGCGGTGGGTGGGAGTGTGTGACTGGAAGAGCTCGGGACAGCAGCACATGAGGCTGGGGAAAGGCCAGGACATGGGGGAATGGCTTCACACTGATAGAGAGCAGGTTTAGATTAGATATTAGGGAGAAATTCCTCCCTGGGAGAGTGGTGGGGCCCTGGCACAGAGAAGCTGTGGCTGCTCTATCCCTGGAAGTGTTCAAGATGAGCTTGGATGGGGCTTGGAGCAGCCTGGGCTGGTGGAAGGTGTGCCTGCCCCTGGCAGGGGGGTGGAACCAGATGGTCTTTAAGGTCCCTTCCAACCCAAACCATTCCATGGTACTGTATCTGCCTCAGCCCAGCGATGCCCAGGGACAATCTGCCCTGCTGTCCCAAAAAGTCCTTTTTCCATCTCCTAGGACCTTTGGGTTGTCTCTCTGGGCTGTCAGGGTGGAGGGGCTGGCCGGGGGCCTGGCTGTGCTCCCTGTGCCTCTCAGCACTCTGCCCTCAAAGCCAGCTCTGTGTCACAGGCCGGGCTGTGACGAGCCCTGGAGAGGAAGGATGCGGCTGTGGGTGCTGCTGCGTGCAGGCAGCCCCGTGGGGCTGCTGTGAGAGCAGGATGGGAGGAGGACAGCCCGGCAGGGACTCGTGTCAGCCCTCAGGGAGGGTTACAGAGGCTCCTCTGAGAGGAGCTGCTGTTGCTGGGGACCCTTGGGTGCCCTTCTGTGAGCTGAGCTGCTCTGCTGGTGCAGCTGCGTGATTCACTGCCCAGAAATCCCCTGTCTGTAGCAGGGAGAGCACGCAGCAGGCACTGAAGCATCCTGCCAGCATCCTCAGTTGGATGGTGAGTCCCAGCCATGGCTGTATGAAGCACTGTGTGCTCACTTCATGGCAGCCTCTGTGTCCCTGCCCTCGCCAGGGCTGTCTGGAAGGGACAGGGCCACCCCACACCCTTGCTGTCACCTCCTGTGGCATCAGTGGGGATGGACGGTGCTCACTCTTGGTGAGCTCCTGCCTTCCCAGGGAGCAGGGATTGCAAAGCTGGTGAGCCAGGCTTGGAGCAGAGCTGGTTGTTGTCTGCCTCTTCCAGCCCTGGGTCAGAGTGCTCTGGAGCACAGGGAGGATGTGAAATGCATGAAAATGTTGTGTTCCCCTCCTGCTGTGACACTTGCTGCTACCAGGGTCAGATCCAGGCACTGTGATGATGTCCCAGGCTTACCATGGGAAGTGCTTCCTGTCCTGCTGGATGTGTGGGAGCCAGGAAATGCTCCCCACACCTGAAACCCTCAGTGAGTCTGGGGATACAGGTAAACAGTACATCCATGCTGAGCACATTGTATTTTATCACCCAGGAACCCTTTGTGCCTCCCCTTCTCAAGCTCACTTTTTGTCCTGGTGGGTTTAACAGAAAGCAAAGAATATTTTTCAGATTTTTAACACCTAATGATTATTTGGGGCATTCTATGGCCTTTGCTCATTTCTACACCCTTAAAAACAGATGGCCAAAAATAGCAATGTGAAACTGTTCCACTCTTCTGCTTCAGGTAGGGGAGGAGGAAGGACCAGGCTGTGGGAGAGAAGTTCACAGCTGCCCCAGCCTTTTGTACGTGCTGGGTGTCAGGGCAGACACCACACCCTGTTGCAGCAATTCTGTCTTTGACAGTTTGGAGTTGAAGGAGGAGTTGGTGGTGGGGCTGCAACAGAAATGTCCTGGTGTCCTGGCTGCCCTTTGTTGTTCCAGAGAGAGGATAATCCACCTTTATCCAAACTCATGGGCCAGTAGCACTTCAGCTCGCACATTAAACTGCGTCCTGCCTGGGACCTGGGGAGGGCTGGCTGTGTTTTGGGGTTGCTTCATCAACCAAAGCCCAGCAGGGCTCGGTCCCACAGGCAGGTGTGTTTTAGGAATGCTCACACCAGAGCAGGCTCTGTGTTTCTGAGCAGGTTTCCAGGGAGAGGTGGAATTCTGGCTGTAGCACAGAATGATTTGGGTTGGAGGGGACCTTAAAAACCACCTTGTTCCAAGTACCTCACCAAGAACAGGAACACAGGAGCCTTCCACTAGATGAGGTGCTCCAAGCCTCACCCAACCGTTCCTTGAACACTTCCAGGGATGGGGCAGCCACAGCTTCTCTGCCCAACCCCTGCCAGTGCCTCAGCAGCCTGAGAGGGAAGAATTCCTCCCTAATCATCTTCCCACCAGGCAGCACAGCTGGACTTTGCTCCCCCAGTAGGTGCAGCTGACCCAGTGCGAGGTGGCTGGGCTGGCAGGGTGGCGAGGCAGGATGTGGCTCTGTGGGCAGCCACAGGAGCCAGCTGGGCTCTGCTCGTAATGTGCTTCTAATAAGCTTAACTGGGGAGTTGTGTGAACTGCCCTGCGCGTTCTGTGTCCTCCCAATGTTAAATTCCCTGGCAGCTTTGGGCCCACATCGTTTCTGGGCACGCTGGGTCCAGCCTGCTGGATCTGGGATGCTGTCCTGGGATATCTGGGCCTCCTGGCCAGGCTGGTTCTGGCTCTGCTCCAGCTGGATCAGGTGTAAGGCTGGAGAACCATTTCCTCTGCAATTAGTGAGATTTGTCACTCGCTCACACAACTGTGGTTGGGAAAAGCGGAAAAAGCTCATGACGTGATTAATTTAAGATTAGCAAAGGAGTGGGGCAGAGCTCAGTTCAAATTGCAATTAATTACTGAGGCAGCCAGAGCATCAGAGTCAGATGTGTAACAAAAGACAAGCTCCAGCCTCTGAGGCTGCCCTGCTTAGCACCTGCACACTTTACCCAGAATACCAGATCAAATCTTACATTTTTAGTTTTATTCTAATGCTGATTTTATTTTAGGAAACCAAGGGGTTAAATAATTGATTACATACTTGGAAACAGTTTTAAAACAAATCCTAAAAATAAGGAGCACACACGTAATCATTTCTGAAAGTAATCTCTTCCTTGAGCTGTCACTTGGGATTTCTCTGAGACTTCTCTAGGCAGCTTTAGCTAAAAGGCCAGCTTGGCACAGGGCTGCCTCAGTGGGCTAGGCAGGCCAGACCCTTCTTGAGAGACTTCCATACCAGTTTCCTGCAGTCAATTAAAGAAAAAAAAACCCCAAATAAACCATTTCCCTGCCCTCTGCCTCAGCAGTTCAAGTCCTGTAATGCTAAACCATCCAGGATCCATGTTCAAATCCATTTCTAAATCCATGAGGTTTTGATAGGCAAGGAGAGAGGGAGGCACTAACAGGAATGTGAGGCAGATGTGCATGAGTCCATCTTCAAAGCTGCTCCTGGACCATGACTTCCCTCCCCAATTAATGGGGAGAATGTATTTTATTAGGAGCTCTGAGGAGCTGTGGGTGTCTGCGAGGTGAATAAACCCCTGCTCTGCCTTGTCCAGGGCTGTGATGTGTGGCTGTGTTTTGATGTGCTGATTTCTTGTTGCAGAGCCATCTCCCAGAGCTGTGCCAAGCTGCTCTCCCCACGACCCTTCCCTCAGCATCCCACACAGGCTGTGAGCTTTTCCAGGGCTCTGTGTTTCCCAGAGTGTCACAGTACAATGTGAGCTGTTGGGATTCCCAGGGGCAGCACACATGGTGTGTGTGTGTGTGCTTGTGGGATTCCTCCATCTCCCAGGGTTGTGGGTTTGGGCCATCCCTGGTGGAAGTAGCAAAGGTAAGAGGAAAGCTGAGGGAGTCAGCCTGGGGGTCTGGGCAGAGCTTGGCCTTGGCTCAGCCCAAAAATAGCTGATTTAGTTGGTGTTGTGCACATGGTTTCAGACTTTGAATGCAATCAGTGTGAAAAAGGGGGCAGGAGAAAGTGTTTGGGTGCCTTGGAAATGGGGAAAGAGCAGCTCCATCCACTGGCTGCAGGGCTGTGATCAAATTAATTGTGAGAGGGTAAAGTCTGGAAAGCTCTAGCTAAAATGAAAAATTAAAAAAAAAAAAAAGAAAAAAGAGATGAGCAGGCTGCTACAAAAATCAGAGCCTGGTGAGCTGTGCAGTAGGACTTGGCAACTGGGGGGCTCTGGGGACCTTGGGAAGTGCCTCAGCTTGGAGCCTCCTGCCCTAAATCCCTCTGCTTCCTTGACAGTAAATGTGCTGCTGTGGAAAAACCCCTGTGGGATCCTTCTGGTGCAGGATTTTCCCTCTGGGGCACTGCAGCAGCCTCATTCCAGTGCTGGCTCAGAGGGCAGCTGCTCCCTCCTGTGCAACCCCCTGGTCTCTGGTTCTGCAAACCCCATGGTTTGGGTTGGAGGGATTTATTTTACAGGAGTAGATCCTGTTTCCTGCCTGGCTTGGTGTCACAGGGCTTGAACTGCTGAGGCAGAGGGCAGGGAAATGGTTTATTTTTTTTTGTTTAACTGAACCCAGGTTGTCTGGGCAGGTGTATCAATAGCACCTGAAACCTGCCCTGCCTTGCCCTCAGGTCCTGCTCGAGTCCTGCGTCACTGCTCGGCCTCTTCACGGGGTCTGGGCTATTTTTGCTTCCTCCTGAGACTCTTCAATCTGATAATCTCCTAATCTCCAGCTCCTGGCAATTCCTCTGCAGTTGTCTTGGCTTTATACCTGGCTTATGTCTTGGGAGTTGGCTTCAAAATAGCTCCTGACCTTGTTGGTTAAAGCATGTTAGGAAATAGGCCTGCATAACTACAGGAGCCTTCTCATCCATTCCCTAAATTGTTGTTGTCGTCTGTGTTGGGGAGAGAAATTCCTGTTACAAGTCACTGCTCTTGCCTCAGTCTCTTGTACAGCATCCTCCTGATTTACACCCATTTCCAGGACCAAATTTTCAGTTCTTTCTTACCCTGGGTGCACTCTGCTTTCCTTAGTGGGCTCTTAAGGCCTTAAAATAGGAGCTGCCCCATCTGAGATTCGAGTCTGATGAGCACAGAAATATCCCTGGTGTCTGTGAGAGGGGACACGTGCTTCCTCCTGATTGCAGAGATGGAGAAGGGATCTTGAAAGGAGCACAACAAAGAGTGTGCATCCTCTTGCCCACGAGCTTGTGACCAAATGCCCCTGGTGGGGTGGTTGCAAAGGAAATTTGGAAATACAGGATCAAATTTTAGCTTTCTGTGATGAGAACCTGATCTCATGCATTTAAATGGCAGGGAGAGGTCCAGAGGACAAAGTGCCTTTGTTTGCTTTCCTGTGTCATTTGGCTCTGCATTATCCCTCACCTTTTGTGCTCCTCTGTAACACCAGCTGCTAAAACACACACCTGGAGTTCTGCACCAGGGTTCAGGACGTGCCAGTGCCTGCTGGCATTGTCCAGGCTGTTCTGCCGCTTTATTTTGTAATTTTGGTTGGGTTTGGGAGGGCAGGAAGCTTTCCTGGATAGAAACTGTCCCTTCCCTGGATTAGGCAGTGGAGACACCACCTCAGAACTGTACCAGGGGAAGGGGCACCTGCTGATTCTGAGAGCAAAGCCAGAGACCACTGAACTGGGGTCACTTTGGAATCACTTTTTCCTACAAAGGGAATTAGAGAGTTTGTGAAGGAATTAATTTAGAGACCACTGAACTGTCTGGGGTCACTTTGGAATCACTTTTTCCTACAAAGGGAATTAGAGAGTTTGTGAAGGAATTAATTGAGCCAGATTCAGGAAGCCAGTCACCTCTGCTGCTTCCTTCAGACCACCACAGTGGTTTTGGTTGTGATCCAAACTCTTCACAACTTCGCCATTTCTATTTTTAAGTTAGAAATTGTCTCTAAAAGTGGGGAGCTGCAGATCTTTGGGCATGATCCAGAGGCTATGGGAAAGAAGCTGGAGAGGCACCACCAGGAATGGTGATGTGTGAGTGAGAAGTGGCTGCTAATACCAGGTGAATTGTTTTCAGGAAGGGTTTGGGGATGGAGGTCTGGGATATGACAATTCCCTGGGCTTTAGGAAAGGGTAGGAAGTACTCCTCTTTTGTGACCTGTTTTTTGCACTACTAAATGTGGGTTCTTAAGGATAAAAACCAGTCTGATGGGTTTTCCATGGCAGTGCTGCTGTGTCCATGCCTTCATCCCTAAATCAGGTGAGTACTGAAAGCTCAGGGACACACAGTGATGGTCCAGTCATTAACAGGGAAGCAGCACAACCTGCTTCAGGGCAAGAGGAAGAAACAATATTCTGTCCTGAGACACCAACCCACCATTCTCTGTAACAATCCCCTCCATGGAGGTTTGATCTGCCTCATTCCCAGCTAAAATAACCACGGCTGCTGCCTCCCTTCCCCAAATCCTGCGACGGCGAATTAGGATAAGGGAAGCAGATGATACATTTAAGTGAGTCACGGAAGTGTGGGCAACTGGGCCCTACAGTAATTTAAAAATAAGTGTGTATGGGATGAGATTAGCAAATCTGACAGTGCTCAGCTAAGCAGAAGGATCTGCCAATTGCAAGCAGCCCATTCCCAATAAGACCTTCCAGTGCAGCCCCAGGCTCCTGTTACGTGTGGGGGAACAAGCCAGCACGTGGCTACTTTGATTGATTTTGGAACAGGAATAGCAGAAGCAAATGGAATACAGACTGAGAGGAATATATATTCCTCTGGTGGCTTTTTTTTTTTTTTTTTTTTTTTTTTTTTTTTTTTTTTTTTTTTTTTTTTTTTTTTTCTAGGAGACTGGGCACTGCCAGAGGAGGAAAAAAACCCACTTGATTGCAGTATTCTGGCAGCTGATCTTCCCGGATGGCATCCAGTTGTATATTGGCTTGCTGGTTAAAAAAAACCAAAAAACAACCAACAAACAACCAAAAAAAAAGGGTTTAAAATATTATCAGGGCAAAAAGAATTGGAAAATAACAGTGTAGGGGTGCAAGCATCAATGAGCAGGAGCCTGGTGGGGATTCTAGCCGGGGTTTACTCCTCTTTGGAGGCTCTGCTTGGCTCTCCTCTGCTCCAGATGAGTCATGGACACCGTTACTGCAGCAACGCTGCTGCCAAGGAGGGGGATAAAGCTGTTGCCATGGTGCTGGATGGGCAGGAATTCTGCAGGAGTAGAAACACTTAATAATTAACTTGCAGACAAACGAGGCTTCAGATTTGCCAGCGTGCTCCAGGGAAGGTGTCCTGGGCTCCCGGGCGACTGCTGCCTGTTGCCAACAGCCTTCCCAGGGAACAGCCATGGCACAGGGAGGGGAAGCTGGGCTGTGGGAAGCTGTGCCTGCTTCCATCAGTTTGTGTTTTGCATGCTGGGAAGTTGTGGGACGGGTTAGGAATTGGGGTGGCTGATGTGTCAGAGCCTAAAATCACAGTGTGATAATTGCAGGACATCTCCCCGAGGAATGCTAAACATCAGGGCCTAAGGCGAGGGCTGGGTTTAAATTCCTGTCCTGTCTTCTTGACTACTGTTAAAGACACAAAAGGAAGATTTTTTTGTGCAGTTCTTGGGATATTTGACCTAACACAGGCTTGTATTTTCTTGTGGTAGTAAAAAAGGCAAGCTTTTAGCTTCTTTTTCCTGACAGTTTGCGTGCTGGTGTCAGTTTTTCCTTGTGCTGTGTTGATAGGGAAGGGAAAATCCCTGCCAAATGCCAGGGATGCTTTGAACACTGTCCTCTCCCTGAACACCCATTTATAGAATTGTAGAAACTCAGTGTTTTGGCTTAAGAAGGACCTTAAAGATCATCCACTTCCATCCCCTCTGTCATGCAGGGACACCTCCCACTGTCCCAGGTTGCTCCAAGCCCCATCCAGCCTGGCCTTGAGCACTTCCAGGGATGGGGCATCTACAAATTCTCTGGCATTCCTTTGAGTATTCACCATATGGGGTTGTTGGAGAGCAGTAAAACTGGCCAGGGAGAACATTTAACACCTCTGTTCCTTGTACTGAGCTTATTTGGACAGTTCTCCAAGTTGTGGAGATTTGGAAGGAATAAAAGGCTTCTAGGAAAATGCTGGTGCCAGGTGTTTGTGCCCAGGAGCTCAGAGGTCTCTCACAGTGGTCTTGGATTTCTTAGACCTGTGCTGAAGTTGGGTTGGCATGGGCAGGTCTGAGCTTTGAGCACTTGTAACTTGTTTTTGTGTATTCAGGGACTAAGCCTCAGGTGGATGGATTTGTTGGAGTTTCAGAAATAGGAAAGTAGACAGAAATAAGTGGTTAGCTCAGATTAACAGCAGGAATTAGTAGCCGAGAAAGTGTTTTGAATTCAAATGTTAAAAGTATTATTTTCACCTTGGAACCTCCAGAACCAGTCTCCTACATCAATCAAATGTGCTGTTGCTTAAAAGCTGACCTGGCTTGTCTACATAGAGCATTTCTTTAGATTTGTCAGGGTAAAGTGGAGCTGCATTCAATCTGTGCTGTATGTGCTCCTTCCCCAGGGAGGAAGATGATTCCTATGCCAGGAGCTGGCTCAGGGCACAGCAAGGCTGAAGGCCAAAACTGTGGGGATGTTAGCAGTGGAATCCTCATCCCTGGAAGTGTTCAAAAGGCCTGTGGATGTGGCACTTGGGACATGGTTTAGTGGTGAACACAGCAGTGCAGGGCGAAAAGTTGGACTTGATGATCTTAGAGTGCTTTTCCAACCTTAACAATTCTGTGATTCCATGACTTTCTCTCAAAGATACAGCAGGGAAGGGCTCTGCTCCCTGTTTTCCTGATATAGGGAAAGGCTTCAACATCATTTTCAGTGCTGAGGAAAAGAAGTCCTGGATGGGGAGAGGAGGCCACCCTTTGTCTGCAGAGGGCTGGAGCAGGGAGGTGGCACAGGGGAGGACACTCCTGTTCCAGTTAAGTGCAGTCAGCTTAGCTCCCAAAGCTGCTTAGCCCTCGCATTCTGCCACAGGGCAGTTTTTAAAACAGGCAAAGCCTCTTAACCCTGGAAAGGCCGGGATTTGATGGAGGTGCTGACTAGTCTGGGAGGAAATGGATGCAGGAGTTCCTGGCACAGGGTTGGGAAAAGGTGATGACCTCTGTGTGTCGGGGGAGAGAATTCTTTCCCCTGTCCTGTCTGAGCAGGGCAGTGTGAGCCTCCAGAACTGAGACTGTCTTCAGAGACACCAGTTTGGAATTAAAACAGGCAGTAGTGGAGATGCATTTGGGCTTCTCTCGCTGCTGGTGTGGCCTCCAGAGAGCAGCCAGAAATTCCTGGTATTTCAGGGCAGCCTTCACTTAAATTTGCTTCCCCCTGCAGATTATTTGTGCACTCCTGAGGAAAATGTTTACAAGATAGACTTCACCAGGTTCAAAATCCGAGACATGGAATCTGGCACAGTCTTGTTTGAAATCACCAAGCCAGCAGCTTCAGGTGAGTGCACACACAAAACAAGGTTTCCCTGAACAAATGCTTTCTTTTGCCTTTCCCCACTCCCTTTCCTCCATACATTTCCCAAAAGCCGCAGAATCTCTCTGCTGCAGGAGGGCTGGAGCCCCATCTTGCAGCAGGAATGTTTTTCAGGTGTCTCTTTGTACTAACAGGGTGAGCAGAGCTGGCTGCTGCTGTGCTCTTCCTGTTGCCATCTGTGATGGGAAGGGACAGATGGATGTTGTAAACAGGAGCAGAGGAGGAGGAGGAGATCACTGGGTGGTTTTTTCTTGGCTGTTATTCAGCTTGTGCCCCCTGCACATAGTTTAGCTGTTTAGTTTAACATCTCTCACTGAGGAGTCAGGAAAATTGGTATTTCCAAAGGGGAGAAACTGCCAACAGGCAAATGAAACAAACTGAACATTTGCCTTTTTTTTTTTTTTTGGTTTGATTAATTTTTAGGTGTTACTTGTAAGCATCCAAGTGTTGCCTGTTGCCAGTGGTGATAAAAACCCAGGGCAGCTGTTCTTTTCCTGGCCAAGCACTTTTAACCCTTCCCCACCTCCCTGCAGGTGAGAGGAGGTTTTCTGTAGCTTATAGGTAGCAAACCAAGCATGCTAAGGGGAAATGGCTTGTCCAGAGTCACTCTGGAGGTGGGGGCAGTAGATGAGGAATAGAAATCCAGAAGATAAGAAATTACTCAAACCAATCTGTCAACATTCCACCTCTGAGTGACCAGGGGTGGACACCTCCGGACAGGAGGAGGGGAGAGCTCAGCACCAGAGCGATTTCCTGGCTTAGGTGGCACGACAACACCACCACAAGAATTTCCCCTGAGTTTCTGGTTCTCAGGCAGCTCTGACAGAGCTTTCCTTGGGCTTTTGCAGAGCGGGAGCACAATGACAGGAAGGACGTGGACCCCAACGCCGGACGCTTTGTGCGCTATCAGTTCACGCCGGCCTTCCTCAGGCTGCGGCAAGTGGGAGCCACGTGAGTAACCCCCTGCTCCTTGGGCTGGCACAGGGAACGGCTGAAATCTCAGGGAAAAAGACCCCTCTCTTCCATGTTCATCCTGCCAGGAAGCTGATTGAACAGGGGGCTTTTTTCATTTATGATGAGGCTCTCCAGATCTTCTGCCTTTGCTGTCGCTTTAGGTTTAGTCAGGGTTGCTGAAGGGATTGGTGCTGAAAGAGGCAAAATAAAGTGGGAAGGCTCTGGGGAGACCTCAGAGCACCTTCCAGTGCCTGAAAGGAATCCAGGAGAGCTGGAGAGGGACTTTTGGAGTGACAGGACACGGGGGAATGGCTTCCCAGTGCCAGAGGGCAGGGATGGATGGGATGTTGGGAAGGAATTGTTCCCTGTGGGTGCTGAAGCCCTGGCACAGGGTACCCAGAGAAGCTGTGGCTGTTCCATCCCTGGAGGTGCCCAAGCCCAGCTTGGATGGAGCTTGGAGCAACCTGGGATAGAGGAAGGTGTCCCTGCCCATGGCAGCTTTAAGATGTTTATCTAATGCTGTGGTGTGTCCCTGCAGAATGCTTTAAGTAAAAGAGGGAGCAATAATTTGATTAGTGCTGTTGCTTTATATTTTTGGCTTTTTTTTCATTTCTTTTTTTTTTTCAGAGCTCTCTTCTGCCTTGCAGGAATATTGCAGATCTTACTGAAGCATGAAAGCTCACGTCAGCTTTACCCTTCTTTTTCAGGGTGGAATTCACAGTAGGGGACAAACCCATTAATAATTTCCGTATGATTGAGCGGCACTACTTCCGTGACCAGCTGCTGAAAAGTTTTGATTTTGAATTTGGCTTCTGCATCCCCAGCAGTAAAAATACTTGTGAACACATCTATGAATTCCCCCAGCTCTCGGAGGATCTCAGTAAGCTCTTTGTTATAAACTTTCATTTCTGGGTTGTCACACCATGATGTTCATCTGAGGTGGTTTGGGGGGAGCCTTTTCTTAAAAGCTGTCTCTAGAGAGTGGGTGGGGTAGAATAATTCATCCTTTTATATCTGTGTTAACACTGATTTTGTTTTCTAGTAGGATGTATCTCATCACACACCAGGCAGTTGCTTGGGTTTTTTCTTTTTTTTTTCTTAATTCATAAAAGGGAAGCTTCAGTATCAGGGAGAAAAAAGATAATTGTGTTATAAAAGAAGCAAGAAATAAGATTAAAAAGACATCCAATAAATGGATAACTTAAATGTTATGATCTGTTTTAATGTTTGATGTGCTATATTATTGTGAGCTTGAGAGGTTTTAGTATGAACATAACTTTTATTTTCTCTCCTCTCTCCCAAGACACAATAGCACAAGCACTAAATCTCTGTGATTTTCCTCTTTACAACCCCTAATTGTGTGTGTCAGCACTAATACTGCAGTCTGTGGAAAATACAGTGAGGCCCTGCTGTCACGCCAGAACAAATTTACTTTGATTTTGCTGTTTTATCACTGTTTTTAAAAACAAAACAAAAAAAAAACCCCACCCAAGATGTAATAGGTTCTTATTCTGAGGTCCCCTTTATATGGTGCCATAATATATTTGGATTATGAACAGTTTTCAGCCCTGAAATTGCTCAAAGAAAGTGTGGATGTGGCTCAAGGGTTTAGTGAATTCAGGTTGGATTTTAAGGCCTTTGAGGGCTTTTCCAACACAAAAACTCCATGATTATGCTTGAATTATTTAAAAGATACCAAGAAGGAGTGGTCTGGGCAATTCCCATTTGGGTTTTGGTTTTTCACCTGATTTTGCAGGTGCTTGGGGGACACTGAACCCCAATGCTTGAGCCTGAAATGAGTGTCCCTGAAGTACGGGTCTCCTCGAGCCAGGTCTCATAAGCTCTTGGAAATGTATTTCACACATTTCTAAGATAGCTCAGCTACCTTAGAAGGCATAAAATCAACAGGATGGCTTCTGTGGTAGTGTTGGACACAAAAAAGTTTTAATAAAAGGCACAATAACAAAACTCTTTACAGAGAAAAAACCAGCCAGGTGCAGGAGGTCCTTGCCCCGGTAAAACTCCTCACAAAAGCGATTAGTTCCTTTGTTCTTTTCTTTTTTCTAGCAAATTGCTCAGGTGGGACTTTTTGCCTCCTGTCCAATTAGCTATCCTTAAGTTTGAGGTGAAGTCCCCAGGTCCTATGAGATGCCTTTTCACCTAATTGAGGAGAGAAACTTCCGGGCTCTTTTCCTTTTTGAGGTGACAAAGGATAGTTTTGTCACTCCATCCACAGGGGGAACATTCCCGTGCCTCCCATTAACTGGGTTTTTCCCCCCTGGCAGTTCGAGAGATGATCCTGCACCCCTACGAGACACAGTCGGACAGTTTCTACTTTGTAGACAACAAGCTGGTGATGCACAACAAGGCAGATTATTCGTACAGTGGAGGACCTTGAGCGTGGTGGGCTGGACGGCCCCAGCCGTGCTGGCTCCCCTTCCCTCTGGAAGTCGTCAGGGATCCCAACACCTCCAGCTCCTGCAGTGTCACCTGGACAAGGATCCACCAACCAAGGACTCTTTGCCGCAGTAGGAGTTTCATGACATCTCTTTTGAGCTCTGAAGCAGACCCGGCTCTTCAGAAGTTTTAAGCTAGAAATGATCTTTGGATACCACTTCCCTAAGTTCTTTTGAGTGTCTGCTTTGAAAATGGCCTTGTGGGACCTGAGGGGTTTTGCCCTAGTTCTGTGAATTTTATGTTCTTGCCCTCGAGTATCTTTTAGGATTGCTTTCCCAAAGAATGTAATCAGAGAAACCACGGGAGTGGATGGATGCAGAGGTTTGAGTGGTTGTATCTCTTTGTGAATTCTTCAAAGTCCAGTTTAACTTGTCCAGCCTGTTGAAAATATCGAGCCAAACATCTCACAAAGGCAAGCTTCATCTTCAGACTGGCTCTCTCCACGAGTATTTCATCCTTTAGTGTCAATCCTTCTGTGTAATGTTCTGTTTAACCTTGGAAACACCAAAACCTGCAATGAAGAGCAGTAGTTCAGTGACAGAGCTGTGTTAATTGGGTGTTTTTGCATTTACATTCCTTTTACATTTCAGATGAAGGTAAAATGGCATTGTGGGTCTATGAACCTCCATAAATACATTCCACTGATTTCAGTTTTTTTTTGCAGAATAATTAGGAAAACCAGGAGGATTTTAGCTTTATTTAACATTTTTGCTGTATTTAACATTCAGCCTTTTCCTGCCACACATTTCCCATGTCTATTTTTTTCATCTCTGCTCGATACCAAGATAAGAACTTCAGCACTGCTTGTTAGAGCAACATTTTAACTGTATAGGGCAGCTGGGGAGTGTGGAATTTCCAATTTTCTATGTGTATCTGCATTTAAAGGAGGTTAAGACAGCGTTTTCCCTTTGTTAAAAACGTTTCTCATCAGATAATAATACAGATGAAGCTAAATCTAATAATCTACAACTTTAACACACAGGAAAAAAATTTAGCAAGAGTTCTCTCTTCTCTTCTGGAAGAAGTTTAACACCAATTTAACCCAAGAAATAGCAACACCAAGAATAAACTAGTGTGGGGTGACTTGTTGTCATGAAACCCTTACTCTGAAGGTCAGTTCACTGATACTTAAAAAAAAAAAATAGAAAAAAATCAACAAAAATAAAAGACAGTTGCAGTCTGTAGATATTTCTATAAATACTTGATGTCTCCATGTCTAATTCTGTGAGTTGAAGTGGAACATTCTATGTTAGCCTCAGATAGGTGTAATAATTGTAATAATTTTTATAAAAATACCATTTCCAGTCGTGATGAGCATCTCTGTAGTCGCAGCCTGTGTCAGACAGGACTACAAAACAATTCCAAGCGTAGCCTAAGGCCAGGGAGGTTTTTGTGCTCTTGTTGGGGTTGTGGTCACTTTTCAATGTGTCACCATTTGTTTTTGGCTTGGCTTTTTTGACTGCTGAGAGAGGAAGCAGTTTTTAAAAAAAACCAAACCAGTGATTTTAGGTTACAGCACAGTTTTTATTAAGCTTGGTAGCTACAAAAGTGTGTCAAGTTCACTGATTTTACACAAGTAGTAGCTTGTAATAATTCTTATCACAGTGAGACTTGTGTTTATCACTATTTTTTGTCTCTAGTGTGTTAAATCATACAAGTAACCTACGGCTGACTGATCAGTTTGAGAGATACAAAGGATTTCCTCATTATTTGTGCAGTACTTTGAGCTACTGACCATTAATTTTATAGCACAATAATTACTAAAGATGGAAATAGTTTCAAAAATGTTTTCATTCCTTCCCCAACCTTTCTTTTTTTTTAAATCAGGACTGTTAAATCATATCTCCAATGACATTTTGCAAGTTTTAAGTATTTCTGAGCTTAGTTTCAATTTGCAGGAGAGAAAAATGTTGATTTAAAGATGAAATAGAGTGAATGTTTATAATTACCACCCTGTACAAGGTTTTTTTGGGGTTTATTTTTCACCTGCTGTTCATAATTGTCACTTCAGTGTATAAGATTTTTAAAAGACTTTTAGGAATTGAATTTGCCCAGAATTGCCAGTCATCTATTTAATATGTTGTGATGAGATCAGGTGTGGTCTCTTGGGTCATTTGATGGAGTTTCCTCTGAAATAGTAATGTTCTGCTCCTTTTTTATGCCTTTCAAGACTTACAAAAAAGAGAGATTCCTTAAAAATATTACTCTAATCAAGGGAAATTTGAGTGGTAGACATGCCCCTTATAAAAGAACCAAGAGAAAGTCACTGTGTTCCCAGGAGTGCAGAGTGTGGATGGAATTTCTGACATTTTTCTGGGGTGGGTTTGAGGTTAAACACCAGAGGATGAATTATCAGCTGCTCCTCTCTGAAATCTTTTATAATTCAGATTATATATGCAATGATTCCAGTCTCACAGAAAATTTACTGTGAATCATATGGGAGGTATTACACTGAGTGAATTTGTTGCCTCAATATTATTAGGAATATTTTAAGCCAGAAATAAAGATTGGACATTTTCAATAAAATCAATTTCAACCAATTTTAGCTCTAGCTTTTCAGTTAGGACAATTTTACTCTTATTAAAAATCCCCAGAGTTTGCCACAAGTAACAAATTCTGATTCCCAAACCCAGGCAAACAACAGAACTTTCTGTGGGAAGTGCAATGGAAGTGCTTTTTCCTGTGTCCCACTGAAGCAGTTATCACTGTTATCTCTCTGTTTCACTTGGGAATTATTTGTTAGCATTTCCTCAAGGCCACCCACATCTACAATCTTTGCAGACAGTGGGAATCACTGTCCAGGAGAGGGATTTTGTGCCTTTCCCACCTGCTCGTGCAGCAGCATCACGTGTGGTGTTGACATGAGGCACATAAACAGCACTAAAAGAATGTTTCTTCAAAAACTTTGGCTGTAGAGTTGCTGTTTTAATGCCACTTCTGTCCTTGTTTTGCTTAAAAACGACCTTCAGAATTTAGTGTTAAAGACCAAACTTTGTGCAGCACCCAATAATTTCAACTTCCTTCTGAAAGGGAGCTGAGTTTGCAGCCCAGTTGTGAAACCCACATTTTTTTCCCTTAAATTGGCAGCTGGTTCTTATTATAAACCAGTTGAGAATGAAGTCTTAGCAGCATTGTTCACAGAAGAATTTGTTAATCTTCTTGACTAGCTATTATTTTGTATTTTAACGTTCATCATTATTGGGTTTACTTTAGAAGTTCATTGCGAAATCACCAAATATTGGCTCTGGGAAAAAAAGAATTGTTGTATTTTCTTCCTTGATCTCATTTTAAACATGACTTTAATTAGCACCACAGCTTTGTTTTAACAAGCCAGCCTGGCAATTTGGGATCCGACTTTTTGAAAGTGAAAGAAAACATCCAAGAGCTAACCAAGATTATCTGCTAATAATGCCTGTCTGTTTCCTGTCATAAAACAGGATTAAGTGTGTGCTTTACACAGTGACTTAATCTTGGAGAAAGAAACTAAGTCTCTCTGAGTGCTAATAGTGACATTATTTTTCTGAGAGACAGGGAAATTACGGCTCAACACATTCTTTCAGGGAAATTATAATTTGACATATTTTCTTCACTTTGTCAGTCTTGGATTCCTTTCCTAGTCAGGGTTTTTAAGGAAAGCAGCAATACATTGGTGGTGAGCTGCATGCTCTAATAACTCACACTTCTGTGGCAGGGAGAGAGCCTTTTTTTTTTTTTTTTTTTTTGTAATAATTAGCACATCAGCTGTGGTTGAAAATCTAGAAACTTTGCTCTCAGTTCAGTGGCAAAAGCCAAAATTGTTTCTGTGAATTATCCGTTATGTGGTGACATTTCTGAAATAACTGAATGATCCACCCTTCCTGACTCAGAAGAGTTTATTTATTTATTTATTTAAATGTAGAAAGTCTCCCCAGGGTTGAAAACAAGCTGCTGGGGTTTAGTTCTTGCTCATAATCTCTCTCTGTGTCTTACTTTTTGAGCAGGTCAGTAAGATGCTCTGTTTTCCACCTCTGTCCTCTGAGTTTTATTCCAAAATCTTGTGTAGTGTCACAGTGGTGGCTGGCTGTGTGTGAAACATGCAGGCTACTTCCAAAATCTCTTCAATTTGAGAAAAAACTGTTAAGGTATATTGAGAATTATCCTACATATTGACCCATAAAAAATAAACCCCAATCTTAATGGCAAATTGAAAAGGAACTTTTATTCATGCAAAGATTGGAGGCTATTTGAGGTAAGAAAATGCTAATACCCAACTGTCATATTTAGTAAGTATTATAAAAATGCTCTATTAATTATTCATAACCTGGAAAAGATGGTTAACAGCTCAGTTTTAATTAGATTTGGTTAGGAAGGAAACCACAGAAATCATTGCTGTTGTTTGGGGCTGCGGGGCAGCAGCTGGAGCTGTGTGGTGGCACAAAATTTGGGCAGGTTTGTGTGCATTTTGGGGGGAAAAGTGAGGGAAAGGAGGACAAGGACAGAAAAAAGCATTCATTTCAGCTATTTGGACCCAAGAGCTTCAAGGCCATGGTGAGTGACTCAATTTTCTGCTGGGTCTGAGGCAGCTGGGAGCTCCTGCTCGTGGTTCTTCTCTCTACCCCCAGCCTAAACACTGCCTAAATTTATAGAGGATTTTCAATATTAATGTTAAATACCGCTGAGAGTTCATATCATTTAATCCACGTGGAAATTGCTGATTTATTTGAGGGCTGTGATGCTCCAGGTCTCACCTTGCAGCTCAGTTGTTCTCCCCATCACTGGTCAGTGGGTGGAATGGTGTTTGTGTGTCTGCAGCCCCCCAAAAACCCCCTGTGCTCCTGCCTGCTCTGGTGTCTGCCTGTATCTGAACACACACAGCAAATCTGTTTGAATGTGACTTTTTTTTTTTTCTTGGCATAGAAACAGAATTGTCTGTATTAAGATGTATTTATATAAAAAAAAAAATCTATTTTTTGTGGAAGGAAAGTAGGATTCTGGTTGCTATACCACTGGGAAAACTTTAGGAGCATTTTTACCGAGTTAATTTCTAATTCTTTGTACCTTGGTAGTGATTTGTTTGCTAGGAGAACATCCACTGTGGCCCATGCAATGCACTGTCATGCAGAGAATCTGGTTTTCAGAAAACTGGGAGTCCTTTGTTTCCTTTTTGGGACAGGAGGGAACTGAGGAGATCACCAGGAATAGAAGGAACCTTGGCACAGAATCCCTTCTGTGGCTTTGGCTTCAGCCTGTTTGACTTTTTGCAGATTAAGTAGAGAGAGAGAAAAGATTGAGACTTCAGGATTAAAAAAAAAAAAAAAAAAGAAAATAAAATTAGATGCTACATTTTAGTCTTCCTGTAGGAGAAGGAGAGTCCTTAAATTAATTTATACAAGGTTTAAATAGGGACTGCACTTGCTTCAATTGGTTTAATATTGGCAGCTTAGTCATTGATGTGCATCCTAGGGAATATGCTTAACTTTTTCCATTACCTTGGAAAACGGTTCAAAAACATGTCACTTCCATTAGCAAGTGTTTCTTCTCCTGTAACAAATTGCAAAATGTAAAAGAAAAAAAAAAAAGAAATAAATTATTGGTCCTAGAAACCAGGGTGATTGTCTCTTTTATTTCAATATTTCTGTGAAAAAAAGCATTCAAACTTTCATTTCAGGTCTCTTTCATCAATATCCAAACTCCAGTTTTTGTGCAAATGTGTGTGAGCAGCTTC